ATGACTTTATATAAGTATTTAAACTTGCATCGAAATAAAATGAATCTAACAATATTTTACATTCATAATTAAGCACTCAATGCAAAAACATTTATGAATAATGAATCCAATATCATTAATCCAATAGATAGAATAATAGATGAGATTTAAAAGTAACATTTGTTCACTAACCTGTATTAAACTACCTTTCTCAAGACGTGCATCAATATTTTCACAGTTAAAATCAACTTTCTTTTTTGTTTGACGAGAGTGCTATGTACGTTTAAAGAAAGAAGACAATGATTATAAATTTCAGAAATTAGAAAACTGAAGGTAATTAATAAGCAGGACTTGCAATCGACTCTCATTTACTGATTAACAAAAATCCCGGTACATGAGATATTGAATCATTCAGACTTATGGACACAAACCAAATCTACCAACAAGTTCCGATGAGTAATGTGTGAGACAAACTTGAGATTGGTTTATAATGGCTTGGTGAAGTTTAGAAATAAAAAACAAATGCAGTAATAGTGTAGAAAACCAAGTAAAGTAAAAAGGCGGAATTTAAAACGTCAACACTGCCACCACGTAGTGGAAGAACGTAAACAACTACGTGAAACTACATTTACATGTGAACGCCGATAGAGGGGGTTGTATACTGAGTTTTAGAGTTGATTCATGGATACGAATGGTATTTCGGACCATGGTGAGGAAGATGAAAACACTAATATAACAAATCAATCTTGTTTGAGGACAGTGAATATCAAGCAAGTTAGAAAAATTTGTTTGTTTCGATTTATTTTTCCTAAGTGGGATTTTATAAATTAGTTCCAAAGTTTCAAAAAACTGGCAGTATATTCTTAATTCATACTGGATCTTATCGTAAAAAGCATACCCTGTCTGGATTCATGATGTACATCTTCCATGACAATTTTGAACTAATTGAAATTTATGTCTGCAATAATGATACATCGAAATTTTACGGCTCATAGTAAAATCTACCGATTGAAGTTGTAAACCTTGACATAAAATTGACCTTAGCAACACCAATTATGTAGCTTAGCGAAGAAATACTATGAATTAATTTCTAGGAAATGTTGATATACTTTCCAAATTATTGTCCTATTATTGTGGAATTATCGATAAACCACTGGACATTTCTTATTTAACGGCAAAAAATGTATGCCTTTTCCATATGTCCAAAGACTAAATAGAGGAGGATTTTCAAATTAGTGATACAATAAATAACAAAGCCAGAAGCAGTTTTAAAGTCAAAAAGCTATAATTAAATGAATATTAGCATTTCAGAAAGGCAGAAATTTTAACACAGAAAGAGGAACAAATTTCTCTTGAAAACAATAGAGTCGTATAGTTTGGCTGAAAACGCCTGTTTATCATGTCAAAATACTAATGTATGATATGCTCCTTCTGTAATTCTATTGAGATAATAACATTGATCAAGGTTCCCTTATAAAAAATACCATAACAAATATTAGGAAAGTGCAAATTTCATTATATATGTACCACTATTTAACTCTTGAATTTTGCACAACGCTACTAAAATATACAAATAGATGATGATCAGTATTACACTATGAAGTATATATCATATCCGGACGAAGAATAAGTGAATAGTAACTGCTAGAATCTATTTATAGACTAATTATATGTATTCTTATTGTATAACTATTAAGTAACTATATTATATGTACATACATATTCTTTTCATTATAAGCTTCCATTTGACCTATTGACTACTATTATACGATTTACCATTCTAAACTTCTTCTCAATTTATGAGATACAGTATCTCACACTCAGCAATTTTTGGCCTGATCTTGTATAATTTTTATTTTTTATTTTATAGTATTATGAAGTCTGATTTACTTGTATACATAGATACATATATACAAGATTCATAAAGAATACGCTGATATTGGTGTTTTAGGGTGAACCGGCTGGGTTAGGTGAGAAGCTACTGTCTCGGAGGTTCAATAAGAACTCAGAGTGACTCTAGGCTGTTAGGATTGGTTTATGAGTCATTGGTCCGGTAATCAATTGGTGTTCCAATTGACGACAAGTCACGTGATATGTTCGCAGGATATAAGGACATGACAGTATCCATAGGATCTGCCATAAACAATTGGAAAATTTGCAAAGATATTTGACAATTTTCGAAAGAAAACGATCTATTATCCATCACTAACATAGACGCTAATATATTTCTGTTGTTATATACCACTAATCAAGAAGTAAACCGGTTAAGTCAGGTGGTCAATTATAATCAATATAATACCTGGTATAAATACGTACCAGCCCATTACCATACTACTCTACAATCGCAAAATAGAATTGACAAGATAAAACTGCATGAGTTAAAATAATCAGTAGTAGTAGTACCGGTGATGTTGAGCACAATCTAAGCCTTATAGAAAATAATTCGGAAAGAGATGAATTCTATAAATGAAAAGTACAAAACAATGTTGAAGCTCAACATTGGAAGGAACAGACACGGACACTGTGACTGAATATGAATTATGTCACGCGACTTATCCAACCACCGATGCCCCCAGTATAACTAGATAGTTTGGATTTATAAAACGACTGTCCAATACAAAACGATTGAGTGGAGTGATGCTATGACTTTTGTCAGTCATCTATAATTCATTTTCAACCTAATTCAACTCTAACATTGTGGGTCGAGGTAAACTGGTTGATGAGCATACGCAACACATCCCAGTCACCTCCATTGAAGATTAACAGCTTCATCAACACATTTATCACGTACACCTACTATACTGAATTAAACCCCGGTATTTCTCGTTCGATGATTTCAACATAATTACACAATTTTTCTCTCATATATTACTACCATTGAAGTAACTACTATGAATTTGGTGTTCATTTTGCCGTCCTAATGAAGTATGGCAACTTGGACCGATGCATATACGTACTTGGTCCTACATTGTAGCTGACTGACTGACTGACATAAGTGAGCAAAGCTCCGGTGAGAACTATGATAAAAAAAACAACAGTTAACATGTCTTCTACCTTGGTAGATGGCGCTTTCACATAAAAAGTAACGAACCAAAAGAACTATTGTATTTGTAAGCTATTTGAGAAGCCAAATTACATAACAAATAAATTAACAATATCAAATAATGAAATGAGATTATTCGGACAACTAAAAAAGCTGACCTGATTATTCGAATCACCAAGAGGTACAGATGAACTAGAAAATGAGCTGAAAACTTTTCGATAACCAATAACAGGTGAAGTCCTCCTGACTTTGTTATTGATATTATGGAAGGGCCGGTAAGAAAATCCACTAGGTTTTATACAGCGGCATCGCAAAGGATTTTGAACGCCCAGCCACATCACGTTACGAAAGACCAAGTGAGGACAATATTACAGAATCATTATCGTAAAATTGTATCTAAAATAATTGATTCATATTGTTAGTTAGATAGTGTACCGAATAAAGTGTAAAATGACAACCATGGAAAGAAAATAAACATTTATAGGTTCATTCATTAAATTTTTGAACTTAATTGGAACTAGGAACCGATCCAAGTTAGAATAATATATAAAACCTGGAAGCACTGTACAGCAGTCTCGTTGTAGGATGGAATTCCTCAGCAGTGTGCGACCACTGCAGACCACACTGGACCTACTACAGACGAAATGCGCGTCATGGACACCATCGCTAGCCACATTTTATCTATTCAATATAACAGATATTATTAACTTGTTCTCAGGTATGTTTATAAACTATTAAGGTACGAAAGCCGAGAATAACATCAACGTAAGAGTATAACTAAACTTAGAAAAATTTAATACAAGAATATGCACGTTTATAGTATTTACTAGCTACAGCATAGAATAAATGTGCAATACAATTCAAATATAACAGTTTGATTTGACTTCAAGACGTGAAACACTTCGAATATTCTGGGAGTTTGTTACATCATTTTGGTCTTCAAATCACCAAATAATTATAATAACAATTTAAATCATAAATAACATTTAGCCCCTAGAAAAGGTCTATGGTAATGAACACTTGTTTCTCGAAAATTCCATTTTTGATTGTTTAAAATCACAGTTACCACCAATATCAGCTTATACAATCAATTCAAACGTTGGTGGCACAATGTTAACTTTAAAACCCTAATGGTAAGGCAAAATATTACTCAGGTCGATGGTTCAGTACAATCACCCACTCAATACGCATTAATGTACAATCGGTTTACGTAAGTCACTATTTCTTTCAACGCAAAGATTATGTTTTTTTTCAAAACAAGTATTTATGAGTTATTCCATAAACTTTATTCTATATCAATTAAATTATTTCCAAATATTTAGGTGTCTATGGTATCAATTTAAAGCCAATTTTTACGGAAGTTATGTTACCAAAAGCATGAGTTCAGAGTATAGCATTAGCTAAACACAACTTAAGAGTACAAACACTCTTATGCATTAGTATGACGTCAGTAATTTTACATTCAAAGTTTTACAACCGCAAACTGCGAAGCAGTTTCCTGACATTAATTTAATTTAAGCAGTTAATATCTGATATATCAAAATCCAATTATTTCGATAGATGTGAATAATAATGCAATAACCTTATATAAATATGATGGGCAATTACCGCTATAACAATTAGTGTAGCTAAGAGATAACAATAGTATAGCTGAAGAAACTCATACCCTTTGGAGTTAAGCTAGTCAAAGACACATATCAAAGCTGCAAACTAAAAAATTACAAAGGTGTTCGAGAAGCTCGCAACTTTTACTACCTTATTTTAAAGTATTATAAGATAAGAACAGTTACTTGATTAAAAAATATTTTCATAACATTCGAAAACACGAAAACTATATTATATCAACCGATTCAATACAACCATAAATAAAAAAGATATCAACATGTCAAATAATATGTTACATAAAAAGTAAGTAAATCTTGAAAAAAGTATATATTTCATAAAGTGAGCATTAACACTGATACTATCAAGTCATTCTGACGAATATAAAGTAAATCGAAAACGAAAGCAAAAGAATTGAAATATAAATGTATAATTTGAATGACAAAAGTTGTTGTCCTTGCTCAGTTCAAACGATAGTTTAACTGTATAAACGTCGGACAAAATTAACATTGTCAAAAAACAATCATGTTTAATATATTCAGAAAAATCAAATGACTAATATAACTGAATAGCCAATGTGAATAAAAAATTACTACAAGTTATAAGCAACATTTTCTTCAACAATCAGAATTTTCAGAACACCAATAATGAACAAAAGTGATCACCAATGCAGCGTTAAAAAACTTATGCAGTGCTATATAATACAAAATATTTCTAAAGCAAAAGTTACAGCATTAGCTACGTCGTGTTCCGCTTTTACGTGCGTATATAAGACATTTTAATATTTATTTAAACTCATAAACATTGGTACAAGGATGCACCAAATAGATATGAGCCTCAGAAATCACTTGATTTCTGTGAGAACTAGGATGCTGCCCGGGATCGCAAACTGGAGCAAATGGTTTTCTTAGGAGACCACTCCTTGAGCCATTGACCTAAAGGTCTAAGGCAGTGGAGTAACGTTAGAAGATGCAGTCCCATAGTAGTCAGTGACCAACAATAGGTTCATATGCCATTTATGCCCACAAGATTCTGGAGCATATATGAAATATTGATTTGGAATCAGGATTTTTCCCAACTCCGCTAGATGGATCCTCCTCATCCATCAACCCGGTTAAAGAGCCGAAAATTAGATTTTCGTCCTCTCGACTTCGTAAACAATATCCCTGCCGCGAGAAGACAATGAGCAGGACTTCCCTGGCAGTGGCTGTACACGCGGTTGTGGAAACACGAACAAAGTTTACACTTAAATATCAGTGATAGTCAACATCGAACCTGAAATGAATACGCATTGACTCATGTGGAGACAAGATTTAGCCATATAAGTATTGACTTTAAGCATGTCTTGCCCCCAAATGCCCTGGTACAGCCGAGAGTGGGGTGAGTCCGCTCTCCCTCTCGAAATGCTCTCACGTGGCCTCGCGGATATAGCCTCTGCCAGGGAAGTCCTACTCACTGCCTTCTCATGGCGGTGGTGTTGTTTACGAAAATGAGAGGACGAAAAGCGAATGTCCGGCGCTTTAACCTCATTCCAAACAAAATCAATGGTGCACATGGGCTCCAGCATCCTGCGGGAACAAATGGCATATGAACCAATTGTTGGTGACCGGCTTCCATGGGACTGCATCTCTTTACGATGCTCCACTGCCTTGTGGATCAGACCTACAGGTCGAAGGCTCGGGGTGTGGCCTTTTAATAAAATCACCTGCTTCGGTTTGGGCACCCGGGCAGTATCACAGCCCTCACACATATCGAATGAGATTTGTGTGGCGCATATGTATTTGGTGCCTCCTTGTACCAATATCTATGTGTTAAAATAAATAAATAATGTTTTGGTTTTAAAGCTAGACAAAAACACCTTATATAAACTGATTACAGTTTACTACCAAACTGCTCAAGCCACTAAAAACGTCAGTAATAGACTATGAATCACACGTATTTCTCAAGTTCTAGCAACGCCACTTTGTCTGTTTAGCTGAAGTATTTATAATAGTGCGCACTACTGGTTGAAAGTCCTAAAAATAATCAGCTGCAGAGAGATATATGAAGCATGGGATAATAGCTTTGATAGTTCCACTGCTACATGTATGGCCATTTTTACAAACCTACTGCACTCAGTTTGAAATCACCTAGCGATTATTCACTACAGTATTTTATCGACCAGCTAATCTGTCGTATTCATACATATTTACTTGTACTCAATAAAAGAACATTCAAGAATTCAAATTTACAAAATCGATGAGGGACCTAACTTATAAACCACAAAATATATTTAACAATAATAATATACTAATAGTACAACCGTAACATCAAAGCTTATTAGTAAACAAAAGGATGTCTATAAACAAAAACAAATTATTTTCACAAATGTAGAAAGGTAGCATTTAGTTATACATATATTACAACATTGTACAATTTGTCCAATTCTTCATTAATGAAAGTTATTTAGTTAACTAAACAACGTGACATTCTTTACATGTTGACCGTAGCAGTGTAACCTGTCAATAGGGTAGAAAGAAAGTTTAAAAAATAACAAAATTCAGAACTGTTTATTTAAAAGATTTATCGTGAATATTCTGACTTTGTATCCACACAGAAACTAAGCCTTCGAATACACCCTTTAACAACTTTTAAATATTTATGCATGCTAAGCAAGGAATCGAATATGAAAATTAGTGTACAAGATCGGAATAATGTTTTATTACCTTAAATACGAATAACTGTGAGATTTATTTTGAGAATGGTCTATGGGTTTTGTAAGAGTTTGCCTGTACACATTGACAATAGCACACAAATTACTTCCTAACTACTAGCAACACTATGCAAGTAGCGGCAATTAAGTGTTTAAAGTACCGGTATTTAAACAATCAAACGGCTAAGTTAGAGCATGTTTAACTCGTTTGAGTTTGGTAAACAGGACAGAATTACAGTCAGTCAGTAATCTGCAATGTAGGACCAGGAACATATATGCATCGGTCCAAGCTGCCGTACATCATTAGCACAACTAGATGAACACCAAATTCATATAAAGTCACATCGATGGTAGTAAAAAATTTCATATAAGGATATGATGCAGGGAACTCCGCTTGTAGCACTTCTAGAGTTACTGACGGTCCCCAAACCTGGTAAAGGAGAACAGTTGGACATGGACATGGGCAACTGTATCCCGTAGGGAAAAATCTTGTTAAGACAAAGCTAACCAGGTTAAGCAAATTAGACCATTTAAACTCTGGCCGGGGAGTTTGAGGAAGAATTATGACGCCTCAGGATGAAAGCCAAGACTCTTCAGAATTCACGAGGTTGATGCCACCTAACAACCAGAGTAACTATTACTATAGGTACACAGAATGGCCGGACAATGTAGGAGACCATGAGTGCCAACCAAATAGCAACGGAAATGAGGAGATACAACTTGGCAGTACTCAGAATCAGCGAAACTCATTGGATCCAAGCTGAACAACAAAGAGTAGGTATGGAAGAGATGCTGCTGTACACGAAGAGGAAAATGCTCCACGAACTCAGGCAGTTGCTCTGATGCTATCCAAAGGAGCACAAAATTCACTTAAAGGATGGGAATCTCACGGATCCAGAATAATCAAAGCATCCTTCAAAACAAAAGAGGGAGTCACGATGAAAGTTATCCAACGGTATGAACCCACCAATGATAGCAACGACGACATTAAAGATCAATTCTATGAAAGGCCGCAATCAATCATAGCGGAGTGCCCAAAAAAGGATCTCATCATCCTGATGGGAGATCTAAGCGCCAAAGTCGGAATGGATAACACCGGATATGAAGATAACATGGGACGACATGGACTTGGAGAAACGAAAATTTGCAAACCTATGTGCATTCAACATATTGGTTATAGGCGGTACAATATCCCCACACAAACCCATACATAAAGCTACATGGATCTCACTGGATCACACCACAGAGAACCAGACCGATCATATTAATATCAATAAAAAATTCAGAAGGACAATGGAAGACATGTGAACCAGGAAAGGAACTTATATAGATTCAGATTACCATCTGGTTGTGGCAAAGATGTAACTGAAGCTAAAGAAACACCGGACAACTGGGTAAACAGCATTACAAAGTTTCAATACAGCCTTCCTTCGAGATACTAATAAAATCAACCAGTTCAAGATAACTCACAACAACAGGTTCCAAGCCTCAAAGGATCTACTGAAAGAAGACGAAACTGCTATGGAGGACAACTGGAAAGGAGTCAAAGAATCATTAACTTTAACATGCCAGAAGATTCTGGGTCGCAACAAGCATCATTATAAGGAATGGATCTCTATGGAAACCCTGGACAAGATTCAAGAAATCAAGAACAAAAAGACAGCAATTAACAACAGCCGAACATGAACAGAGAAAGTCAAAGCACAAACTGAATGCACAGAAGCAAATAAACAGGTGGAGAGGAACATTAGAGCTAACAAGCAGTGGAAAACTCTGCAAGAGAAGAAAATATGAAACAACTATATGACACAACAAAGAAACTACAAGGGAAATATACTAAACCAGAAAAACCAGTCAAGGACAAAGAAGGCAAGAATCATGGAGATTCAATAACAGAGGAATAGATGGATAGAATGCTTCGAGGAACTCTTGTATAGACCAGCTCCACTGAACCCAGCAGACAACGAAGCAGCACCTACAGACATTCCAATAGATGTCACTCCACCAACGATCGAGGAAAAAAGGATCTTATAATGCATCGGCAAAAATTAGTTATTATTATTTAAACTTCATTCTCAATAATTTAATATAATTTTGGCATAATCTTAGTCTTAATTATGTTCTTTTCTAAAATCAGACTTTTTGTTTAAGTTTCAATTTTGTTTGATGGAAATAGGAAGATATTTTTATCGTCCACAAAGATTCATTTTAAACGTACTGAAAACGTTATCCTTGTCTCTGTTTGTCATGAAATAAAGCTGAAATTCACACGCGTTCTCTGATTATGTGAAACTATAGAGAAATCACACTACTGTCGATACAAAGAAACGTTTTCAAAAGTGTTGCCGAACAGGATGAACAAGACTCAGTAGACGTCCAAATTCGAGATCAACAAGCTGGATTCCGTAAGGATCGGTCATGCACAGACCAAATCGCCACACTACGCATCATCGCTGAACAATCAGTTGAGTGGAAATCGTCACAATACACCAACTTCATTGACTATGAGGTGTTTGAGTGTGTATAGGACGACCTTATGGGAACTTCTTCGACACTATGGTGTACCTGAGAAGATTGTCAATATTATCCAGAACTCATACAACAAACTACAGTGCATAGTCGTGTATGAAGGAGAGCTGACAGCCACATTTCAAGTAAAGACCGCAATCAGACAAGGTTGCTTAATCTCTCTCTTTCTCTTTCTTCTGGTGGTTGACTGAATTATGAAGACCTCGACATCTAAGGGGAGGCACGGAATACAATGGACATGTTGCATGCAACTAGACGATTTGGACTTCACAGATGACATAGTTCTTCTATCCCATACACACCAATAAATTCAGGTTAAGACAAACAGTGTAGCAGCAGTTTCTGCATCAGTATGTCCCAACATACACAAGAGAAAAAGCAACATCCTCAAACACAACACGGAGAACACCAGCCCGATCACACTTCATGGAGAAACTCTGGAAGGGGTGGAAAGTTTCACATATTTGGGAAGCATCATCGATGAACAAAGGGGATCTGATGCAGACGTAAAGGCGAAGATTAGGAAAGGGCCGCATTTCTACAGTTGAAAAAAATATAGAACTCAAATCAACTGTCATTCAACATCCAAGTCAGAATCTCCAATACGAACATCAAGACAGTTCTACTATATGGAACTGGAACTTCGAGAACTACCACAACAATCATCAAAAGGGTAAAAGTATTTAGAAACAGTTGTCTGCGTAAAATAATCAATATCCGTTGGCAGGATACTATCAGCAACGGCCTACTAAGGGAGAGAACAAACCAACTTCCAGTTGAAGGGGAAACTAGGAAAAGACGTTGAAAGTGTATAGGAAATATATTATAGAAATAATCAAACTGCACTACGAGACAAGCCCTAACTCAGAATCCTGAAGGAAAACGGAAAAGAGGAAGATCAAAGAACATACTACGTCGGGAAATCGAAGCAGGCATGAAAAAGATTAGTAGTAAACGGAAACAATTGGAAAGGATTGCCCAGGACATAGCTGGGTGGAGCGTACTCATAGGCAGACTATGGTCCTCCACGAGGAGTAACAAGCGTAAGTAAGTAAATATGATAGAAGGCAGATGAATTGGTTTGTAGGAAGAAGTAGGCTTAATCTCAAAGTTTAAGGGAAGACACAGAGGGTATTCACCTATGCTTTGTGATCAACTCTAAGCCATGTCACCAAGTCTCTAACTATTAGTTACGACAGTCATGCGGACCCCAACCAAGTAGTCTACATCTACCAATATGAATCAGACTAGAAGTTAATGACTTTATGGACTGATATCACGTTTTGGCTTGGTCGTCCCTAAATTTCTTCCAGCCTTCCCCAACAAAAGTCAGCACTGCGCGACATGGTAGTTGGGGGTTAGGCATACGTAATATGTGACCCAACCATCTCAGTCTATAAAGATTCACAACCTCATCGACTGATTTACCACGATACCGTGTGTCTAACCTTACTAATATTTACCCAGTGATCCCAGTAAATACGAGCACTATTTTTAAAACATCCGTGATCGAATACTAGTACCTTACGAGTATTCTCTACTATTAATGGCCATTTTTCTCAGTTATAAATTAAAACAGAACGAACGAGTGCAAAGCATACTCGTCCCTTAAACGATATACGAATATCTCGTTTTTGCCATATGTGACATAAGTTGGCGAAAGCCAAACGAGCTTTTTAAATCCGTGCAGTATTACAAGCCATAACATATAGTATGTAAATTTGTGAATGGTTACTGAGGTATTTTAATTATATTGTTAACTATGCATAAAATCTGGTACAAGTGGACATCAAAAATAGAACTTGCTACACAAACAAACGGCCAATGATGCAACAAAGCTTTCGAACCGAAGTATATGAACAGGGATTCGAACCTATGACTTGGTGGTTGAAAGTCGAACGATTCAACCACTGAGTAAACGCATCATAGTAACTAAGTTATATTGAGTCAACTAAGTTACATACAAAGGATTTCATATTGGTTAAAATGTCATAAGTGAATCACATCTTCAAATTACTGGAGCATTACAAAAATACAGGCCACGTGAAACGTAGCATTGATCGGATGTTGTAAAATACAGAAAACTTACATGCCGTATTATTTTACTGGTGTTTAGTAATTTCTTATAAGAGATACAAATGAAGACGAAGAAAGAGTATGAGTTACAAAAGAGTAACACTGTACTACATCATTAACAACAGCATCCTTCCCTTACTAAATCACACTTATTTTATATTTTAAGAACAGATGAATATCCGTCCACAAGTCATTTTTTTGTGCATTTGAATATAAATTATTAAACAATAATTGGACATACACGTAATTTTGGCAATAAGGTATTTTGACGACCACCTTGACTGGCATCGTCTATTGAACTGCAAGAATCAACTGAAACGCGACACCGGACAACATCAAAAACTTTAATTTCCATATAAAAGCAATCACAACTTGATAATGTAGTTTTCGAACCAACAGTAATATTTTGAATACAATCTGCAGAATCCGAACCCTTTATATTGGAATTTTCTAATAAATCACTATTCCACAGAAGACAGAGTTTTCCACTCTCCACGACTTTTCCCATAGCGGTTTTGGAAGGAACAAATTCATAACTTTTCAAATTTAGATTCTAATATTAAAGAAATAAAAGTGTATTGAAATGACAATCAGACAATAGTAACACTCACTAACAAATGTGAGTTAGAACAGAAAATAGGTATCCAGCAAATATATTACTCATCAAAAATCAAGTACTATGGTGCCCCAGTTCCAGTAAGAAGAGAAAAGAAATCAACAAAACAGATAAAGTACTAAACTAAGATAGAATTACACTGGTAAACAAGGGACAAATAGTATTGATATTATAACAATGACCTGCAATGGTTTCATTACTTCTATCACTTTTAAAGTACAACGCTTAACATTTTCAAATATCAACTCAATTTATGTGATGTAGTCAAGCCTTCGAATCTGTGAATTTTCATACTACTTATACCTATACATACTATATTCAGGTAGTATTCATCACAAACCAATGGTATTTTTAGTATTATTGTAAACCAGGGAGCACTTGACAGACTTTTCGAGGTAATGTGATACTTTTCAGTAGTACGGACTAAGTTACGAGAACTAAGATGAAAATGAAACATCTATTTACAACAACTGATGACCTAAGATCTGAAAGAATAATGACACGATAATTCACTTTAATCGGTTTAGAATAATCTAATTGGAGATATTTTATTGTCGTTCTGGATATCACCAGGACCTACCTTAAAAGAAATGAACTTCAAACAACTTATTCCAAAAGTCCTTAATCAATATATTCTGATGATATGGTTTGTGATAAGTTGTTTTAATACGTTTCGTCTTCACTTGATTTGGGCGTTGGTAAAGTCATTTTTTAGGATAACGATGACAACGGGAGCTCAAGAATTAAACAATCCAAGTCAGAACACAGCACTACAGAAAGCATCCAGTTGAGCCAAAAACATCCATCAGAAAAATTTGTCGTACAAATCAAGGATCAAACGAAGAAATATAACAAAAACAATAACAACAGAGCGGTCGAAAAATGAGACTAGCAAACTAACCTGTAAATAAACTCTTTTAGTGAGACCGCAAGAAAGGATAAGAACGTCAAATGAACGATCGAGCACAGATGTTACGGCGCATACTTCGTTAAATGGACCTGTTTCCTAATTTTTAGGAAGATATAAGAAATATTATGCATCACAACTTAATCCATTTATATCAATTGAAATAATTCTTGATAATCAGTGAGATTCCTTTTGGGGAAAGGAAACTATTTATGCATAAATATGTGCTATATTTTTAAAACAGATATATATAAATAAATATATTTTTTAGAAAAACCAATTACCTTGACAAACAGAACAAAGAATAATTCAGCACTTTCTTCCCCAGCAAGTCGGGCAGACAATTTTTTAGAATTGCAAACCTCAGCTTGTTGTTGCAATTCGACTGGCGTCATTTCTTTTGGAAAGGCTGTACTTAAATACCAATCTGCTTTTTCAGCTATCGTGGAGAAGAGGTTGAAATAAAGAGAAGACATTATACCCTATCATATTACGTTATAGCTGGCAAGAGTAGTAATAAGCACTTGTAGAAAAAACTACACCAAATTGTGGATTACTTGTAATCTTCACAACTTTTCAGTCATTTATTTTAAATAATAGTTTTAATAATCACAGGCTGAATCTACTCAGCAACTTGAACACAAGAGAAAAGGCGCGAAGTGAGCAAAAACCGCTTTACTCCAAGGTTAATTTATGGACAAAAGATCCAGCGTTTTCTGGACCCTGTGGACTTTTTCAAGGAATACTTCTTAGCAGCTCTAACAACTCATTGCATACAAAGTAGAAATCTTTTAAGATATCGACAGCAAAGTTTATATAAATCTAATTAGGACTTGTATAGGCATATTTTCTTCGCGTTCAATATCGAATTAGTCTAAACCAATCCTAAAATTTACTTTATAAAAATGCAGGAAAAATTACAACTGAAGACAAGATTAGATGTCATGAACGAAGAACGTTAAACACATTCTAGAAATGTGACTCTTTATGGTAGATCAGGAATGAAGAAAGTGAATTAACTTTGCTAAGTAAATAAACCATATATGTGAGGGAAAACTATATCAACACTTTCCATAAATCTAAATAAATATTCAACAGACAAATTGACTACGCAGCTCTTTACTTAAATTTTGCGTAACGTACATAGATATTCAGCAGTTTAAAGTAAAAATCGAATGATATGAAATGCAAAGAAACATTTAATGGAACACTTAAACAATTTAAACTAGATAGTTATAACTAGATGTGATATAGATTAAAACAAAATTACTAACGATCACTTTCTTCTTTGGCCAAAGTAGATGACAATTGCCGGTGAACAATAACATCTGCGTAACGACGAATAGGAGAAGTGAAATGTGTGTACAATTGCATATTTAAAGCATAATGTGAAGGCGATAACTCGGATGGTAGTAGACCTAAACAGAAGTAGACAGCCAAATTCATTGTTTTAGTCAATAAAGCAACTGTAACAAGAAGTCGTGCTTCATGTTCGAGAGTTTTGAGTGGTAACTTCTCCTTTTGAACAACTGAGTTGAGGTCCACTTTTTGCATTTCTTCTATTAAATCCCCATCATGAATCAAAACATTGGACATAAAATCATCACACAATTTGACAAGGGCATCTGAGTAGTGATATCCAACTTCAACATTACAACCTGCTTCACGGCAAATTGAATCCTAAATAAATAAACAAACAAATATGGAGTGAAGATTTGCATAAAATTGTACCTGAATTTTCCTATTTACTTATCTGAAAAGGTAGTGGGGTTACACTAATTTTAGGTAATTTTAAACTTTAAAACTTTTAGTATCTAGTACTGATATTAAGACATTATATACTAACAATAAGCGAATTTCGTAAGTGATATGGTACTGTTGGGGATGTTAAATACCTAAATACAATTAAGTAGGAAGAAATTAAGTGAAACACTACGTACTGATGTTTAAATATGATTTCCATTTAATTGCTATTCGTAACAATTCAGAGTAATTTTTGCCCATTATAACATTAATTGGAATTAATTAGTTCAATGTAATTTGTTGCTCACATAACTGTTGTTCAGCATAATATTCAATCGTATTAATAATTTAAGACAATTGTTCAGTTAGATGATTTCTTTACCCTATAAGCACTAATTGTATATAATGTGTTATACTTGAGTTTGAACTAATCTTATTGCGTGCATATGAATAAGGTTAATAAATAAATTAAAGTTTCCTCTCTCTTGCCAGAAAACAGAGAAGTAGAGGATAGTTACTGAAATTACTTACGCTTGGTACCCCTCGTTGAGGAGTATAGGTCGTCGACCAGAATAGGTAGAGGAAAGAGGTATCACTTATTGCTGTTGAAATTAGAATTACAAACTATTAGCAGTAAATGAAACCAGCAGTGCTTTTCAAAAATTGAAAGCTCTACAGTTTCATTAAACAAACCAGAATTGAATCGCGACTAAATGTATTTCCCAAAGATTTCTCAAATCTTAAGAGTGTGGTTTCGTGACAAAATTATACGTAGATTTTTATTTGAAGACAAGTGACATAGCTCTTTCAACGTGATACATTCAGGACAATTTCTATTGTATTAAATGCAATTTTATTCAGTATTTTTCAACTAAGTTGAACACCTTTGTGTTTTGCACTGAAAATTTAAAGATATTCATGAGAGAAATCAACTATACTTTCATTTTAAATGCTGAATGACACAAACAAATATATTGCAAATATACGTTTTTTTATCACCAGTAATGAAAGGTCGTTTTGGCGTAACATCTATGAGCTAATATCTAGGTAATCAACATTCAACAATTAAGCTAAACGTTAAACCTGATTTCTTGCTGCCCACTCTTATATTGTATAACTGAAGGACTACTGTCCCCAAGTTCGGACACGATTGACATATTACTTAGATTTTCAACATTCATTTGAGTTTGCCAGTAGATGAATTAATTCTACTAGTGTGAAAAGCTTTAGTGATCATTTACTGATACTAAAGACCTAGTACTTTAAAACGGCAAACTAGGGAGAAATTAGCAACCGTGAAATTCTGTTAAACGCAAAAACGTATAGAGTATAGTAGTTTAATTTTGAAATAATATAAAATGCTTAATCAATACATACCTGTATTGAACCGGCAGAATCAATATTAATATTTATCCCAGCAACATTTAGACTAGACGAAACTTCGGTCAGCTGTTTTACAGATGGTGGTGGATGTCGTCTCAAAAAAGCTGAGTCGGGTAAGTATTTAGCTAAGCGTTCAGCAACTGATTTGTTTGCTGCTAACATCCATTCTTCAATAAGCCAATTACTCTGCTTCGAAATGTAAGGGGCTATACCCAATGGTAGTCCGTTTTCGTTATTAAGAGAAAAGGTAGACTTTACTTGATCTAAGCGAAGCGCTCCAGAGTGAAAACGACTTTTACGCATTTTAGTAGCCAGCTAAAGCACGAGAAATAAATTATAATTGTTATGAAATTGACCAGCATATAAGAGCCATTCAAAAGTTTCCATTAGAAAATGACACTGCTCAATTATAAAATTGTAAAAATTTGACGAGGTGACATGCTCTTAGTGTACAACACATGTTTAACAGACTGATTTGCATCGGAAAAAAACCAATGATGTAAACAAAGAATGGTGATGACCTATTCAATGTTTTCTAAATATAATCAAACTGATATCATGACGAACAAGGAAGTACAACAAAGAAGAATGTTTAGAGAAATATATTATAACAGAAACACTTACATCGTTTAACTTCAAGACATTTTTACAAATATCCATTACGGTATATGGTTGATCTACCTTGACAAATTCATTGGACGACCAGTCCCTATCAGGGTGATCAATAAATTCCTGAAATGGTGTGGAATGACATTAATATTGAGATGATAAATTTTATATGATAGGAAACAATCGAAACACATTTTAAACATAACGTATGCAGTGTATTTTTTGGAATTTCATCTTCTTAAAATAGAGGACTACAGTTAACTAGGTCTAGAAAACTTAAATCTGGCACTTCAAAAGTCTATAAGATATAAAAACTACCGAATGCAAAAAACACTAATACTCAAACCAAAGATTATTGATGTAATTCAATAATTAAGCACATGTTCATTTACTAAACTGAGCTACGTCACCATGGTTGTTAATACTATCTGGTTTTCCACATCAGAATAGATAGATGAAGCAATGTTCGAATTGACAGTTCAATGGTTAAAATGTAAGATGGTTGAATATAATAATACAATAACACAATAACAATACAATAATAATAATAATAATAATAATAATACAACCTAATCAAATATACCATTTAACAGACTGACCTGAGCATCTTCATAACTGAGTTTACAACAAGAACGAATAAATGTACGACCAAACCATGTTGTTAAAATCTATATTACAATAGAAGAAATTTTTGATAAATAAATTTCACCTGGCACACAGGACAGAAATTTACAAGGTCAAGAAACAAAATAAATAACTTACCTTAAGGTTTAATACGAATTATTACTGAGAATCATGAGGTAGTTAATATTTTTGTATAAAAAAGTCATCATTACTCAAAATATGATGCATGGAATTCATGTCAAAATATATATACAACAATAATCCAAATGAGTTTATCCCTTATATTTCACTATATATCCATTAACATGCCACTTTTAATAAATCACGTTTTTAAGTTGGATGATTTCGTTCGGACAGTTTGTAAATCGGATGAACAATTTTCATTCATGACTTTAAAAATATCACGTTTATATCCGGTTTGATCTGCTGTATTTGACTGTCGAAACTTTAGGTAATATGAAACAACGCATTTGACATTTATGGATTCATCTTCTACTAGGAGAGACACTTGTTGACTTAAAACACGCGAAAGATATAGTTCTATTTAGTAAAGACGCTAACAAAACGTAGTCTTCTGATCACCTTAAACAACAATGCAAAAATGTTTGGGATGCGGTTCTCTTCCTCCAAATGTAAAATGTTACTTCAGGATTGACTTGCGCCATCGCCTGAATTAATGACAGGGAGTGAAGTAGTTGAATCCATAGACCACTTCATCTGCCTTGGGAGCTTCATTAATCCTGATGGTCTGGTATCTGACGTAATCTCGACACGGATTCAGAAGGCTCGATTGGCTTTTGTCATCCTGTATCACTCGTCACGTATGCGAGATATCCGTCCTCTAACCAAAGGGAAAGCTTAATGTGCAGCAGTTCACTTTATGGATGTGAAACATGACCAGTAAGAGTAGAGGATACTTGTAGTTTATTGATATTCGATCATAGGTGTTTACGAAGTATTGCTCATGTATTTTGAGATCACGGAGTAGGCAATGCCCGGGTTAGAAATAAAGCACCAGGTAAAAAAGGAAATCGACTGATAAGGTAGTAAATCTCTTCATCAGTTAAGGTGGTTGAGACATGTGTTACGTCTGCCTAACCACCTCCTGTGCCGATGGGCCAGGTGTCCTGGTGAAGAAGTAGGCTAGGAAATAGTAAGGGGTAGTCAAATCAAAATATGGAATTAGTCCATGAAATTACTATTATTTGGACTTAGCGATGTGAAGATTCCCTGGTTGAGGTACGTGTTATTGTCGTAACCAATGGTTAGGGACTTTGAATAACATGGCTCAAAATCATTAGGCAATGAGGTAGGTGCAGCCGTCCTTTGTCTCCACTCAAATTCTAAGATTCTAAATTCCTAATAAATTTTTTGCTTTTATTTCACTAGTGCTTTTCGAGTCGTATCTACGATGTCTAATCTTTCCTATTACCACTGACACTATCACTACCTCTACTATTCATACGTACAAGTTCTACGTTGTGACTGACTGATGAACCAACGCCTCATCTTAGTAAGTTCTACTTAAAATTGGTCTGTATATCAATTCTTTTTTTAAATAATAAGAATATTAGACAAATGAGCTCCTTAACATATGTTCCATATCCGTTTTTAGACTATGTGAAAGATATGAGCTGAAGTAGACTCTTTTGATAGTGTTGACGTACCAACAGAAAAAATTCAAACATAGGACATGTGAATCTTTGCAATAATCAAATCCCGATTAACATATTGTCATGAAGATAAATTGTAAACAACGAATTTTAATCAGAAATTAATCATTAACTATTGTCATCATCATAATTTACAAATGTTGCCTTTATTTACAACTTTTAGATAGTAGCTAGCTATAGAATTTAATTTCAGAGGGGTTAATTTAAAGATACCCATATTTCACATAAACTAATTGAAAGCAATTCTGAATGTCGATAACGGGAAAACACAGACTCTTACGAATAATAATATCATACTTGTTTAATAAGTTGGTAGTTTAATGAAAAAGAAGTGATGCTTAAGGTGATAAGTTTTGGGTTCGAATCTAATCCAGTCATAATCAACGTAAAACTTGGTATACAGTTAGCCCAAGTTTTCATAAGATTAACAAAAAGAGAGAAAAAACGAACAAGATTAATATCAAAGGATTCGAAATAATGTAGTGGTAATGACAATAAGGACTAAACATTAAGAAGTGGGTTCGAGAAGGAATGGAAAACAATGGAAATTAAACGGACCCGCCCCACTGTGATTTTCAATGTGAACAATTCTGGGATCCTGGTGCATCCAGCTAACACACGCACACGCACACGCACTCTAGATCTCACTACAAGGTATTACCCCAAAATATAATGAATTACATGTAACTACAGACAATATACGGTTATCCTTTCAAGGAGTGTAAATAGAAACAAAGACTGATCGAATCCAGTTTTTAATATCAACAACGAAAAAAACAAACTCTAGAAAGTAATAGCAAATAATAACACATTTTAGTAGATAATATGCGGCAATAAGTGAAAACAAAATCTCCCATAAGAATGGGTGATATAAAATATATTAGTATAACTACATCTATATTTAAGTGATGCACAGGTGATATGGTAAAGCATGAATTTACATATTACAATTCCGTTACACAAAAAGGTTTGTGTTTACTCACCTTGGCATCCTCAGTTACAATGAATACCACAGAAAACGCTAACTTATCTTCTCCTGGATTAAGACTGCATTGTTCTTCACAGAGTAGACGCGGAAGCATAGGCACGCACAGTTGCACTAAATATATAGAAGTTGCTCTGGACGCCGCTTCCTTATCAACTGGACTGTCTGGTTTCACAAAATATGAAACGTCAGCTATGTGTACACCAACCTGGAGAGAAAACAATATAAATGAACAAGTAATGTATTATTCTGTGTCATAAAACTGACAAAAAATTTCCTCGTGACATTTTCTATGCACTTCATTAATTTATAATATATACGGTAGTCCAAATGAACTTATTTCTTAAATACTACTCGGTAAAAACAGAACCTACAGAAATACTAATTGTTGATTACTGAGCGATACACAAATCAAGTAAACATATAATCTGGAAGATGAGAAATGTCAACAATTCATGATTTAGAGTAGTAATGTATACAAGGGTTAACCACGTATGAGAACAATAGTTGTTAGATCCGAGCGAAGATTAAATCACGAGTAACTTCTGAGAAATATTAATTGACTAATATTATCTATATATACCTATGGTATAATTATTCAATAATTAGATTATGTATATTTATATTCCTCTTATTATAAGCTTCATTTTGACCTATTTACTGTTCGTAAGCTATGTTCAGTGTATTGACTACTGCTTTACACGTTCACAGCCACTTTTTGACTTTATTGTGTACAAATGTTATTTCCTATTTTTTGGTGCGTTGCGGTCTGTTTAGTTGATATATAAACCCAGTATGCCTGAAATAAATTATTCGATTCGCATAGTGGGAGCTGGTATTGGTGTTCTGGACTCAACTAGACGAGCTAGGCGAACATAGAACCAACAAGGACGCTAGGCTGCTCGTACCGGTTGAACGTCATTGGTTTGGCACAGTGCTAAGATTGTATAAGCCGTATTTTGATTGGTGGATAAATCACGTGAAAACTGACCAGACATAAATTAATAACGATAACATCTCAGCAATTATTAAAAAACATGTTTTTCAGATACTACTCTAAACATCTAACATATTTAGTCTGAAGAGTTTGAGAAGTAAACGCCTAGCAAAACGAAAATCACAACATAAATCAGAATTAATCAGACAAAGAACATCCATAATAATGCCTCAAGGATCACTTTTCATAAACATTGTTTCACGCTATGAACTGACGAATGATTACACTTTTAAATGAAAACTACACGTCATGTTTCTTTAAGTATTAGCCAATGGCATGTCTTAGTATGAAAATAACTTGACCTATATAAAGTTGAAACAAACAATAGTGCTAACTGAAGGTTTAGAGATTGACCAAAGGGATCCACATAACTCGATTCCTTGTGGGGAAGCTGGAAGAATGAAACACTATTTTGACGCAGGACAAAGAGGTAGTAACAGTTTACAATCTATCGGTTACTGTAATCAGTGTACTTTATATTCCATATACCAACTACGTTTAACAAATGTATTGGTGTTTCCCCACAAATAATTGGAAATGGTACTCCAGAAAATTAACCCAGTACTGGATTAGCACGTGACTCAACACCATGAAACACTCCATTAAAGATTATCATCACAAATTCATGGGGTTAAATTAGAATTAACTAACATTCAGAAAATTACCCAATCCCAAAATTCATTTTTACCTGACAATGGAATCATAAAACAGGACTCTTATTTACCTCGTAAAATGCGTTTTGATAACCACTGCATTCTAATTTTTCTATTTCACTCGGTTCCAACTGTCTAATATGCAAAGCATCATCAAGATCTCTAGCGGTACTGGGATCAATCGTAAAAACACAATGTTTTCGAAAATCTTTACGGAAAATAAAATCCTTCTCACGAATAGCATTCACGTCATCAACAGACTTACGAACTGATTCAGTGACAATATCAGGAAACTGGAAAGCTGCATCCACACCCCAAATAAATCCTGCCCCAACTAAAATCCTATCCGTTTCATCCTGAATCAGAGTGGAAGAGTCACAAGACAATTCTCGTAACAACTCCCTGATGAAGAAAGAAAATGACAAATCAAAACCACGAAGATCCTTACACGAAATGAATTCGTCAAGGCAACTGAAGTATTTCTTATATAGCACAAATAAACAATGATATTCAAACCAGTATCGAAAGCTCAACGATCATCAACAATACAGTAACGTTAACATATTAACAATTGAGGTTACAGAATAAATGTAAATAATGAGTTATTTAGTTAATAAATTCAAGCATTTTAATCAAAGAAAAGTATTATTCATTTATGAGCTACTACTAAAATAGTTACGATTTGGAATTTACTCAAGGAATAAGCAATATTTTGGAGGCGCATGATCTCCAGAAATCACTCGGTAAACGTCTTATTTTGCAAATTTGAATTCCTCGTTTTCGCACTAAAAGCGCTCATTTTTACCTTCAGATTGTATTTCCCACTTGGAAGGACCCTAAAAGTCCTTATTTCGTTGCCTCTTTTATTATGCTATTTTGTGACGTTTCCTAAGGACGTTTTTATGCTGTATATATACGCTTGAGTTGTGTGCTTGTTGATGTTCGTGCTTCTGGCTGCTTGTGGAATGTACTTAACATCATCTGAACCTGGACTTCTCCCTCTAGTTAGCGGGACTGGGACACATTGGAAGAGTTTAACTGTCTAGTAGTTGCGTCAATGATCCTTCGCTCTGTTCGCCGATTTTAGGTGATCTCGTAAGGTCTTTAAACATAACACAATAAAATAAGGTAACAGATCATATTCATTTAATATCTCAATTCTATTCCTAACTGCGACCCAGAGATATATAGATTTCATTTTTCCTGAGGTTCGAATAAATTAACAAAAAAGGATAATTGTATTTGGAACTAACAGGGAAATTATAACACAACGTTGATTATTTGGTTAAGTAATTACTCTGGAGAACAGCATTTCTATGATGAAGGAAATGGTGATAAAACCTAGACACTGAAATTATAGTGAAATAAAGAAAGACACTTAATGAAACTATACACTAGCATTTCCAATAATAGGTCATGACATTCAGAAAAGACTTTCAGAAAAAGACTGAAATTTTACCAAAAACATACACACTTAAAAAACTTCAACTGATTGGTGTTATGGGGACGATTATTTGGTTCACTTGTACTAACACGGAATCGGAAAACTCCTCAGTTTTGCTATTGGTTACAAATTTGTGTAATGGTTCCACTTTTAAAATACAGAAGTCTGAGAATGTTTACATCTTGATCCTTCAACAGAAACGAAATACAGCAGAATACGACGATAAGACTAACATTCAGCAGAATGTCATCCAGACTGCGATGATTAAAGAAAATTTTGTTGCTTTAAAAAAGATAGAAAACTAACAAATTTTCACTAAACATACATTAACACGTCAAAAATACTTACCCTTTCGGGAACATATTCGAATCAAGCCATTCAGTGATACGACCAATGAAACGAACGTTTTTGTAGGTTTCGGGATTTTTCAGGAATCCTATATCAAAATAAGTAGCAATCAAAGAGTAAGAAAACGATCTTTTGATAGTTTATCAAGATATAACTTTGAGATAAGTATATTTCGATTTTCTAAGAGTTTGCCAATTCGATAAACATTTTTTAATACGTCGATTTACACTCACCTTCCGGACAAGCTTCACGAGGTATGAAGACTCGTGGTAGGCGTGTATCCGTAGGTATGAGCACAGCATTCCTCCAATTGGACAGAACTGGATCTGTACGTATAGCCTCTGATTGGCTATTATTCTGATCACCTTTCGGAGATACTTTTTTCGGGGTTTGGAAATTACTAGGAATTTGAAGATTTCCTATGAAAGCACGGGAATGTATCGATTGAAGGATTCCAACAACATGGCCAGTCCTTTGTATAATCGCCCACCAAGCTTTGTGACTTTTCACATCTTGCTCACTTGAGGAGGAATCAATAGGATCTGAAGGTGAATCTAGATCCTGTGCAATCTCTTCTGCAAGACAACTTCCTATGAGCTTGAAGTAAAAAGTGAATAAAGGTTTAAAAATAAAATAATACTTTAAGGAACAGTCAAGTGTGGAATAATTGTTTGCTAGGCCCATAAAACAAATGGTAATTAACTCCCAGTGCTCTAGTAAATTACCGATTTTTTAAACAATTATGCAGAATAGCTTTTCTAGTGAATAAAATAAGAGAACAGTAAAGAGTTATACGCCAACACATGAAAGCATAAATTGGTTACCTTCATAATTCATAGCTTCCGCTTACTTATTATTAGTCTGTGGTTTTATTTTCATAAAATTAAATCATAAGATGAGGTTACTGAGAAAATGAGAATGCAGGACGAATTTTCAATGGTTGCGCTGTTCATCCTAATTATTATACTCTCCAAGCCGGACAACTAACTTCAGACCATCCCAGGTATCAAAGTGCAACACTAGTTACGATAGCCAATTCCTAAACTTGCATAAACTCTAAGAAAAGTACATTATGTAAGCTGATGTGGCAGTAAGAACAACCATTTACTGACATTAAAATATCCCCACTGAACATATGACTTTCTCAGTTAACCATACCATATTCGTAAATAATGACTAGAGGATTGCAGAAGTAAAACACATAAAAAGAGAATGGGATTTTCAGTAATAGATATTAGTAACTTAATTTTAATGGCATCAGTATGTTGTAACCAAATAAGCACAAGCAGGAAAACTGATAGATTTTGATTTGTTTTTAAACACAATTGTGTGTTGGGGATGTAATATTCGCAAATACAACGAATGAGAAAGAGATCGATTCGCATATTCATTTACGTAAATCACATTTACTGACTTTCAGTGGACTGAATTTATATTAATTCATTCAGTATGAAGCTAAATGTTTGATAATTACCGCAGTTACGTTGTATTAACTAATTAACTGCGATTTTGCATCTAAGTAACGATTACTCAATTTGACGGTTTAATTTATAATCATCGAATATAATAGGCATATAATCAAATTAACTTGAATGTAAATTAATTCATCTAGGGTCTTGAATAATCTTCTTAACAAGTCTTCCCTTTTATTTGTGTATGGGTTAGTAACACTTAAGTATTGTAGAATGTTAGTCGTTTGGTCTATCTAGTTCGCATAGAGCCCATTTCGTATTAGAAGAATCTTTCAGTTGATCCTAAAAGGAAAACAAAATATCCTATCTCAATTTACGTGACTGGGTTCGCAGATGTATTAACTAGTCTATCGTTATGTAGAAAGAGAGAGAACCGGGTATATAGGAGAAAATGATTATCCACATACTTGCTCTAACCCCATAGGTTGAATCTTCAGAAACTGTTCCAAAGTAACATATCTAAGTTTCTTCTTCTGATCTGAATCCCCGATTTCTCTCATGGCTTCATCGATAAAAGAATCAAATACCTAAAAAAGCACAAATATCTATATTTAACCAGCAAACATTGGGAATACGACAGTAGGAAATATGTAGTAAAAAATAACCGAGGTAATAATGGCTGATAATTTTCTAGATTAATCTAGCGGTTATTATTTCTGTCTGTCTATGACAAACTTTTATTCACTTGGAAATGATTTTCTTACCTTCACTGGGTTACAGAAACCATAAATTGCTGAGCGATAAGGAATTCAGAAAGATAAAATGATGCTCGATCATAACTTAATCACGAATGATAACTTAATCGAACAAGCGCATGTTTAACAGGTTTTAATAAGAAAATTCTTACATATTTTAATCACAGCTTGAAGCAAAAAAGTTAATGACTCTTTGAAAGTTAAGAATTCAAAACCTACAAAATTAAAATTATGTAGACATTAAATCAGCCAAAGCGCAAAATATAGATTAAAACCTACGTCAGATATAAATTCGTGGTGCTCACATAACAGACCCAAATTCCATTACCAATATAGGATTGTGGAGATTGTTGAGTTTTAATTGCAATCACGAACCGATCAAAGTTAGACCACCACTGAAAAACTGCAAGCACTGGTTGGCTGGTATAAGACTCCTCAGCGGTGCACATCCACAATACAGCACGCAAGACTCGAACTCAGGACCTTTGGTCTCGCACGTGAATGCATAACCTATAAACCAGTGATTCAAAGTTTTCAATGATGGTCTAACATTGATCGGTTTATAGTTTCAATTAAAACCCGAATTCTATTAGTTTGCTGTTGAGTTGGAAGCGCACAGACAAAAAATACACTTGACTGTAACAATGATTTAGAGATAATATTGTTTGTAACTGTGTACTACAAACGACTAGCCCACTTATTTATTTATTTTAACACATAGATATTGGTACAAGGAGGCACCAAATACATATGCGCCACACAAATCTCATTCGATATGTGTGAGGGCTGTGATACTGCCCGGGTGCCCAAACCGAAGCAGGTGATTTTATTAAAAGGCCACACCTCGAGCCTTCGACCTGTAGGTCTGATCCACAAGGCAGTGGAGCATCGTAAAGAGATGCAGTCCCATGGAAGCCGGTCACCAACAATTGGTTCATATGCCATTTGTTCCCGCAGGATGCTGGAGCCCATGTGCACCATTGATTTTGTTTGGAATGAGGTTAAAGCGCCGGACATTCGCTTTTCGTCCTCTTATTTTCGTAAACAACACCCCCGCCATGAGAAGGCAGTGAGTAGGACTGCCCGGGCAGAGGCTATATCCGCGAGGCCGAGAGGGAGAGCGGACTCACCCCACTCTCGGCCGTTAAAATTTCAACTTCGATGATAAAATTAAGATTCTTCATTGCTTACCATTGTATTTACTTATTCTATATACTAGCGGACATAACTGGATACACAAAGTTAGTAGATACAGAGAAAAAGCATGGAAAAATGTCTTATTACGAACTCGAAAGAGCGATAAAACTAGTGGTCTGAATCGCTGTAAAGTACGCAATACGAAATTTTAATTTGGTTTGACCAAAAACTAGAACACTTAGTACTAACAAACGTTAACGCAACTACTTATTTAACGAACAGTGATATGTGGGGCATATTTTAGCAAAATAGTTACTACAAAATCTTATACCAATATTTTTAGATCATTTATCAAAAGATCCAGTTGTGAATGTAAGGATAGTGCAAGAAATTAAAATCCGATGCTATTCGGCAGTCTAGTTTCAAAACTCAGAAGACAAAACGTCAAGGCAGTGTGCCGAAGGAGACTCCTTTGCTTTTGAAGGCACTACTGGGTTTTACATATTCATTCATCGAGGTACGGAAAATATTGTGATTATTTGAACATACCCTCCAGTTACGCTTTGGTTCCAGCATGACAGCAACGATATCATTTGGTAGTGCTCGGTTTCTGGATGCTAAAGTTGAGATATATACATCAGCATCACCAGCCTTCATATTTTAATAAACTCAATAATTTCATTTACCGGGTGCTTTACGTATCCATCTTCGAAGCTTTTCGGATTGATACGAAGGTTACCCTGTAAAATGAATAAGAATATTGAAAATTAGTAAAATAAAATGACTAAAATAACATTGGAATTAGGAAAAAGCTGCAGCAATAAGAACAATATGTCCCTTAAAATGAAAAAGATATCAGTTTTAACTACATACAAAAAAGTACCATACAAAGGTGTTTCAAATCAACTATCAATTACAAAATCTTAAACACTAGAACTTCAAAAGGCAATACAGTCAATAACCACGTAAGGAGGTCAGATCTGATATTACCATAGAAATAATATTGTTTGTAATACTAACACATCGATGCTTGAGTTGACAAGACTGAGACTAAGTATTGATGAAGTTGGATCGCAAGTTGTACGGATCCCTGATATTTAAGCATTCAAATGAATACATACTGAATTATGCTAAGTGTAAGAATGGCAATTTAAGCTCTAATATCACAGCCACTCTAAAGGCAGAATATGGTATATGACACGACGTATAGAGGTTAGAATATTGTTACATAAAAAGTACGTCCAAAAACATCAGGTAAGGATGAAAATGAAAAAAAAACTTATATTTCAATCCAACTTGATTTAGTATCAACTTCTAGGTCTTTGACCTAAGAAATATAACATAATAAAAACAGGTGCTAACACTTACTGATAGAAGTGTTCCATTTCTGACACCCGAAATTAGGTCATCATGAGACCAATGAGAACAGTATGCATTGTTTGAAGATGGTTTATCAGCACCCGAGACACCATTTACTGGTAAATTAGGTTCAATAGCTTGCCCGACAGACTTCAACTTCTGGACAACTGTTCGAGGATATCTACTTCTTTTTGTTTTCGGATTAACGACCTGTGAATATAGTGAACCGAATGATTTTTAATTTTATTTTAACACATAAATATTGGTACAAGGAGGCACTAAATACATATGCGCCACACAGATCTCATTTGATATGGCTGTGATACTACTCGGGTGCCCAAACCGAATCAGGTTAACTGAGTGTTTAGCTACATTACTAACAAAACAGACGATCAGTGATTGCGACCAGTCACATGGAACTACATTCAATTCCCAGATTTCAGCTAAAATATTAGTTAACCTAGTTGCTAAAACTGGACCACCATCTTTGAAGATCTCTGGAGTTAATCCATCTGGACCAGCTGCTCTTCCTCGTTTCACATTAGCTATAGCCTTTTGAACTTCAGCTAGAGTCGGGGAACCTACTTCAATGCCCCATTCCCGCTGTCTGGGAATGGTGAGTAGTTGTAGAGTAGCTGAGGTTCAGCTGAACTGCTCCTTAAAGTGTTCCAACTGTCGTTCTGAACGTCTGAACTGAGAGCAGATAAGACTGTCGTCTTTTTCCGAAAGTCTCACTTACATTTGACTTCTTAGTTCTAGTTTCTTTTATCGGTCTGAAGAGCTGTCTTGTGTTACCTAGAGTTGCCGCCTTTTCTATCTCTTCTGCTTTTGTTGCCCACCACTGCTCACGATCGTTCCTTAGACTTTTGGTTAACCTAGATCTGACTTGCTTTTGCTCTTCATCGTGTTCAGGGCCCGGTGGGGTGAGTTTACGAGAATACACCAGTGCAATAGACTTAATAGAAACCCATTGGTTTTTTGTAACCCTTTGGTTTAAATTACTAATAGATGTCACTGCTGTTTACAGTTTTTTGTATATTTTCCCAAGCAACATCTGGATCAGCCTTGTTTTCAGAACTACCTAAGTGTGACCTTAGCTGTTCCTGTAATATACTTTTTTGGTTTTCTCATTGCTGAGTTCAATTTTAATGGGTCTTCTTATTATGGTTTTTCTGCGTCCAGTGAGGTACAGGCAAATGTGTGCTCGTACTACAGCATCATCAGTCTTAACATGTACTCCAAAACGAGCGGAAGTCTTCTATCAAGCATCTCCAACGATGGTTGATGACAATATGGTCTATTTAAGTCGTGTTGGTTTGGTGAGGAGGGCCGCCATGTTAGACGTGTCTCCTTATGCTTAAAATTAGTGCTTGCTAAAAATAAACGATTGCCTGGGCACAGTTGCAACAGACGGTCACCATTATCTGTCCTCTGTAGTCAGTGGGAGTGTAGGCAGAAACGAGTTTTTACAGAACAGTTTAGCTGGACAGCACATAGGCAACTTCTAACAAGGATCCATTCTGAAAGTGCTTGTTCTGCCCTCATAGTTAGTGCTATACCTATACCTGCCAATCCACGAGAACTAGCCATTGGGTTGTCGGATACACGGAGGTTCGGCTCCCATTTTGGTTAGGCAAGGCCAAGTGAATGACCACAGGACCCTGTATATGTGTTTCGGGAGCAGCATGCATCAATGGCACGAGATACTAGGGTCTTAAGTAGGGAGGCCTGCTGGCCGATTTGACATAAAGTACGTACGTTGAGGGCTCCAATGAGTAGTCTGGAGCGGTTTCAATAAACCTAGGAAAGTATTTCGTGCGCTAGAATCATTGGTCATGATGATACTTGAGGATGGAGTCAAAGAAAAACGTTTAGAGCACTAGACGATGTTTATTTTATTTTGGAATGCTACAAACGACAACTATGAGCTCAAATGACAGTGACCCGCAAATGCCATGGTACGGCCGAGGGTAGGGACAGTCCGCTTTTCTTCACGTGACCACGCGTGTACAGCCATTACAAGGGAAATATTACTCACTTTTTTCGCGATAGAGCTGTTTACGAAATTAAGAGGACGAAAAACGAATGTACGACGCTTTAACCGGAATGGTGGTCACAGAGGGGAGTTGAAAAACCCTGATTCCAAGCCAGTGGTGTGCATAGGCTCTAGAATCCTGAACGAACAAATGGCGTATAAACCAACCGTTGGTCACCGATCGCCATGTGATTGCATCTCCTGACGTCGCTCCACTGCATTACGGATCAGACCTTTAAGTCGAAGGCTCTGGGTGTGGCCCCACAAGGAAACCCCATGCTTCGGTCTGGGCACCTGGGCAGTATTCCAGACCTCACACAAACCGAATGATTTATGAGACGCCTATCTATTTGGTGCCTTCTTGTACCAATGTTCATGTTTAAGTAAATAAATAGACGAATGTTCTTGCTTAGTAAACCCAGCATGAAATGCTACTTTCAAAACACATTAGGGCTGAGTAAATCTATGGCTATTAGTGACAACAAAGACGCGTGAACGTTACTTCAGAGTTGTCAATATTTCTGTAAACTGTGAAAATGCTTGCGAATATATAGATCACTTTCAACATACAACCTGTTTAGAAAGGCAGATGGTGGTTTCCAGAATAAGTGACAAACGTTGTGACGAGAAATAGACTAGGTGATGAACTTTTCATAACACAGTAGACTTTTTTATTTCAATTTGTGAGAAATTAGTCATAGTGTCATTTTCAAGAAGTGTACCCCAGAATACGGTCTTGAGAGATAAGACTATTTCCACAAGGCTGCAATCTCAACTGAATTAACACTGAATTTCTCGTAAAAAAGCGCCTTTCAAAAATGTTCATTTTTTATTCACATTATTGTAGTTTACATAATTTAAGTCGGCTGCTTGAGAATATTTATCTACGAATTACAAACTACGGTTGATTAATGAATGTAAATGATCACTTTCTCAAAAAATACTTGACAGACGATACAGAAAGTAGCAAACTATACACAGGAATGACCCCACTCCCTGCTAAACCTTAAATTACCCACTTTGCTGGACATTTGATAATTCCAAATCTCGCGCACTTAAAAGCACGTGTTGTACAGTGAACACTTGTGGCACAAACAACAAATATATTCAAATATGTATATTGTAGAGAGTTATACTGTCTGATTTTTGCTTCCATTCCAAGATTGTATGAATCTGGGTCTTTTGTTGGTTCTGATTGTTACTGACTGCTCTCGTTATTAATATATAAGTGCATTGTGTGGAATTGCTAGGCCGTATAAAAAGTACTTTCTGGCTAGACGTGAAGCGCTACACATATAAGTGATTGTGGTCAGCGATTATGTATTCGGAAAACCGTAGTTGCGAAAAATAAATCTTTAGAATCAATAGCTCTATAAGGCCTCGACATTTGGTGCTGACCCCCACATCTAGCTGAAGCAGCTCGTTCAGGCGTCCACAGCAGATCAAAAGTGCGTGCGTCGTGCTGTGAATCCCTTTCAACTACTAGCGAGCTTCGATTATTCTGTTGGGCCAGTTAAATGTCACTGAGACCAAGACAGATAATTCAGCGGTTGGGTCACTGAATGTTGAGCAGTTCATTGATCACCGTCAGTATGGACTGAAGATGGCACAGGTATTCAGTGTTTGACAACGCTTTTACCAGAAACGCCTTCTAATATAATTTGTACCTACTGAGAGAAATCAAAAGACAGATTCGAGGAGATCGGAAGAGTGTATTTGGCGATAACCAATATATCGGAATTCTCTGAACTAATATGGCTAGCGATTGCGGTAGATGTTGAGCACAGCGTTACCACACGTGATCTGGTGCGGATGCATGATCGAGCTCCTTCAGCTAGATGAGTCCACCAAAACATATGGTCAGCATCCAATGTCGAAAACTTACAGAGCTATTTATTTTGCTGATTTATTTACCACTACAGATCACTCCCTCCCTAGTGGGGTAGTGACGACCCTTAGACGTGGCCAGCCAGAAGTTTAAACCCAACGAGTTTGTCGTCAGTAAACACTCTTCTGATAGCTTACTAGGTTTAGCAGCGTCTGGTCGTCTTTCCTTACTATATGGGGCCGAGGTACAACATAGTAAAAAAAGAAAAAGTACAATGAAAATTTCGGCTCCTCGTAAACGTCATTGTTCTTTTCCAGCCATCCTGGAAAAGAAAAAAGAAAATATAATTGCATGTCGAAATACACTCGTATGTGCGCAAAAACACAAGGTGGGCGAAAAAAATATAAAATAAACTCCAGCACACGTAATAGCGTTAAGAAATTTTTATGATTTTTGTTTTTTTGTTTGAAATAAAAATCTAAATATATAAGCATATTAAAATTGTTTTTTCTTAAAAATATTATGCATCGTAAAACGAAAGATCGAGATAATATAAAATGTCGAGTAGTGCCTTACGTGCAATAGTCGTTTAAATGTTCTGGAAATCTTACTCTACTTCCAGAACGCGTCGTTTTAAGTTTATTTTCGGACACATTCGGAGTGTCATCGCTAGTGTTGGTTTTCGGTTGAGGAATTATGAGTGTAAGAGTCGTGTTGTGCGATTGTACCGGAGGAAAGTCGACGAGAATAGAATTTCCTTCTAAATACGCTGCTTTTAAGCGATCGATGCTGATGCTATCGTTTGTTCCGTTCTTACCGATTATATAGTACATAGATTCGCGTTGAAGAACTTTGAAAGGTCCTTCGTATGCTGATTCGAATGGTCGTCGATGCGAGTCTCGACGAACTAAAACGTGTGTACTATATTGTAAGTCAGGTTGAACGAAAACATCGGTGGATTGTGGTCGTGTGGAAGCAGGTTTAACTGAACGCATTGCGTTTGTAAGCCTGTTCGTGTAGGAGGATAGATCCATGTTCATTGAAGAGGATGAAGGATCCACGAATTCTCCTGGAAGTCGAAGTGTGGTTCCATAAACGAGTTGAGCTGCAGTGTATCCAATGTCAGCTTTCACTGCATTGCGGATACATAGTAAGACGAGTGAAAGAGGGTCGGTCCACTGTGGAACGTTTGCGGCTGATAGTGAAGCTTTTAGTTGTCGGTGAAAACGTTCTGCCAACCCGTTTGCTTGTGGGTGGTAGGCGGTCGTTCGGAAGCGAGTGATTCCTAAAAGTGTGATCGTACAACGGAAAAGTTCAGATTCAAACTGACGTCCGCGATCTGTAGTGATGGTTGAAGGGCAGCTGAAGTTTGCTACCCGTCGTTCGACGAAGGCGTGGACCACTGTTTCAGCAGTGATGTCCTTGATAGATACTGCTTCTGGCCATCGAGTGGAACGGTCTACGCAAGGTAAGTGTATCCACTTGAATCTGGTAAAGGTCCTACCAAATCCTGATGAACATGGTCGAAACGAGAATCAGTAGTTTTAAATGAGCCTAAGGGACAATCATTGTGTCTGATGACCTTAGATTTTTGGCAGCTTACACAGGAGCGTGCCCACTCCTTCACATCTTTATTCATGCCAGGCCAGCAAAACCGTTCTGCTATAAGCTTGATGGTTGCACGAACACCTGGATGAGAAGTTTGTGCAATGTGTTGAAGACATTGCGTCGATAATGTTTCGGCACGATTGGGCGATCCTCACCTGTAGATGTGTCACAAAGTAATGTTTCCTTACCTGTTCAATCGAGGAGCTACACGTAGTAATTCTAGAATATTCTTCCGAAAAGTGATTGAACGGAGTATCTTCGACTCCTTCTGAGTCTCTCACAGCTTTCTCGAGTTCACCTGTGGTCCGTCACTACACCTATGTAGAAGTGATAGATTGAAAGGATGAGGCGGAGGATACCTTGTTTACGCCCACTCTAGTTCAAACTTACTATTATGTGATATGTATAAACTAAACAATCTGGAGGATTCGGTATGGATCCTTTGTTAGCCATCGGATTCCACTACTTTACTACCCGGCTAAGTATACCGCCAACCTTACTTATCAATAGGTGAAATAGCAGTATTATCGGAGGTATCCCCACTATCATCATCCCTTCCATTCACAGGCGAGCTTATTTGCGGTGATTTCACCATTTTCGAAATTTTTTGGTTCCCAGACAAGTCGCTGAAAAGTTATGAATCATTTATTGAATGTCTAGAGCTTTGACATTGAACTTAGTATGTCAGTCGCCCTACCAGACATCAAAATATATCGAAATTAGTTTTTACCAGTGGCCTCACTGTGATAATCTGAAGTATTTGAATTATAGTATGAACTAAGAATCCCAGAAATAACATAATCGGATCTATAAGTACTAGATAGCCACAAACGAATGTACTGTATTTAGGATTCGAAATCAAGCATTCAACAAGTACAAAAGAATCATTTGTTCATTCAACCACCACATCGGCCACAGCTTAAATAGGAGTATTAGTATCTGCAATTGATTGTACGTCTTCTTCTGAAGTTCATCCTGTGTCTGTTCGACAGTGTATTGGATTAGGACTTTGTAAGATCCAAACTAAGGTTTGGATTGATGGACAGCTGATTAGGTGGGTCAGATACGCTCCCTTGTCCGATTGAAACCAAAACAAAGTAATTAGGTAAAATGACGGTTCTATAATTCATCATAAATTTAAATGTAAATTATTACCTAAACAAATATGACCACTCAGCTATCCAACCAATAATTGTCCAATTGATCAAATCTAAATTACAATAAATAAGGAAGTTGACAAAGGATGCAAGAAAATTACCAATCACCACAAATAAATGTTATTCTTTCCTGTCTGTGTAAACCACGCACAGATTCGTTCAAAAGATAATATTTGGTCGCTTTATAACACAGTGTTCTCAATTCTGAAAGAGTGCCTCAATTCATAACCAAAATTCTAGTCAACACAGGTAAAGCAATCAAAAGGAGGAACAAACCAACCAAGTATAAAGTAAAACAACATAAGTGCAGTTTTCGGGAAGAAACACAGAGACTTAGTGAAGGCGTAATAAAAATAAAAACTATAATAAAATACAAATATTAACAATTCAAATGTAATCAAAAAGTTATCAACCTACAACTAAGGGGATCAATAGGAACAAGGTGCATGTATATACATGAAGGGATTTTCACACACACATAAAACATTCAAAACGGATCTTACGGACTTTGTATAATCTAGAATGTGCTCATTTGTATTAGAATGAACAGCCGAAATCAGAACAGATTCACCTGCTTCCTGAGATTGTGAAATCAGCATGTCGGTTGCGTACTAAAACCGCTGCTACCTAGAATTTGAACCCCACACTTTTAGACTATACTCTCCCACGAAATAATGTTGGATCTTTATATCCCTAATATATGAATGATGGGGCTTCATTTAAAACATATTTCTCACAGTGGTTAGAGTAAAGATTAGAAGTGTTTTTGTGATAAGGATAAACAGCAGTTGATATGAAATCATCCGAATTGTAATCAAAATGAGGTCATTTAGTACTTGTGCTTCGTATTGTTCAAGTTTCCCACAAGCAAGGAATGCATTGTAACGACCGAACAACCAATATTCGGATGGAACAACGGACTGTCGAACCCAAAATTTATTCGATTAGACCAGACCATGTTCCTCTGTATAGCTCACAACGCGTTTTGAGATACTCGTATTATATTATATCATATCAAAACAAACTCTGTACTCAATATAAACGGTACTAATTCAGAAAACAGAATAAATTACAGCAAAAATACAAAATACCTCAAACAGTACAGCCTGTGCTATACAGTCAGAAGTTTCTCTAGCGCAAAGTAGCGCGCTAAACAATGAAAGAAACAGTTAATACTAAAGGGTTTGATACCTGAGAATCAATACAAATATCTCCAACAAGATGGGATCAAATATCTATCTGCAGGGATTGCAGCAATTCTCCCAAGCAGACAATCAGAAAGTTAACAGTCAGAAACTGAACCACGCCGTGACCTTAAGCTTAGTCAAACACGACCTTACTGGCAATTGTCTGGCAACACGCAATAGAAAATTAAGTAACGAAAGATAAGTCTTTAATCAAAATCACATAATAAAGGTCCAAACGAGGAAGACTGAAGAACAATAGATATGGTTAAACGAGATCGGAACAAAG